TGTGCGCTGGTTGGGTGTGTTGCGCTGTGCAGTGACTGGGTGTGTTGCAGTGTACAGGGCTGAGTATGTTGCCCTGTGCGCTGGTTGGGTGTGTTACGGTGTACAGTGGCTGGGTGTGTTGCCCTGTGCGCTGGTTGGGTGTGTTACGGTGTACAGTGGCTGGGTGTGTTACGGTGTACAGTGGCTGGGTGTGTTATGGTGTACAGTGGCTGGGTGTGTTATGGTGTACAGTGGCTGGGTGTGTTGCCCTGTGCGCTGGTTGGGTGTGTTGCGCTGTGCAGTGACTGGGTGTGTTGCAGTGTACAGGGCTGAGTGTGTTGTGGTGTACAGTGGCTGGGTGTGTTGTGGTGTACAGTGGCTGGGTGTGTTGCAGTGTACAGGGCTGAGTGTGTTGTGGTGTACAGTGGCTGGGTGTGTTACGGTGTACAGTGGCTGGGTGTGTTACGGTGTACAGTGGCTGGGTGTGTTACGGTGTACAGTGGCTGGGTGTGTTACGGTGTACAGTGGCTGGGTGTGTTATGGTGTACAGTGGCTGGGTGTGTTATGGTGTACAGTGGCTGGGTGTGTTGCCCTGTGCGCTGGTTGGGTGTGTTGCGCTGTGCAGTGACTGGGTGTGTTGCAGTGTACAGGGCTGAGTGTGTTGTGGTGTACAGTGGCTGGGTGTGTTGTGGTGTACAGTGACTGGGTGTGTTGCAGTGTATAGTGGCTGAGTGGGTTGAAGTGTACAGTGGCCCGGTGTGTTACGGTGTACAGTGGTTGGGTGTGTTGCGGTGTACAGTGGTTGGGTGTGTTGCGGTGTGCGCTGGTTGGGTGTGTTGCAGTGTACCGTGGCTGTGTGTGTTGCGGTGTACAGTTGTTGGGTGTGTTATGGTGTACCGTGGCTGGGTATGTTGCCCTGTATGCTAATTAGGTGTGTTGCGGTGTACAGTGGTTGGGTGTGTTGCGGTGTACAGTGGTTGGGTGTGTTGCGGTGTGCGCTGGTTGGGTGTGTTGCAGTGTACAGTGGCTGTGTGTGTTGCGGTGTACAGTTGTTGGGTGTGTTATAGTGTACCGTGGCTGGGTATGTTGCCCTGTATGCTAATTAGGTGTGTTGCGGTGTACAGTGGTTGGGTGTGTTGCGGTGTACAGTGGTTGGGTGTGTTGCAGTGTGCGCTGGTTGGGTGTGTTGCAGTGTACAGTGGCTGGGTGTGTTGCGGTGTACAGTGGCTGGGTGTATTACGGTGTGCATTGTTTGGGTGTGTTGAAGTGTACAGTGGCTGGGTGTGTTACAGTGTACAATGGTTGGGTGTGTTACGGTGTGCGCTGGTTCGGTGTGTAGGTGTGTACAATGGCTGAGTGTGTTGCGGTGTACAGTTGATGGGTGTGTTGCAGTGTACAGTGGCTGGTTGTGTTACGGTGTACAGTGGTTGGGTGTATTACGCTGTGCGCTGGTTGTGTGTGTTGCGGTGTGCAGTGGTTGGATGTGTCACAGTGTACTGTGGCTGGGTGTGTTGCGGTGTGCAGTGGTTCGGTGTGTTGCGGTGTACAGTGGCTGTTTGTGTTACGGTGTACAGTGGCTGGGTGTGTTGCGGTGTGCAGTGGTTCGGTGTGTTGCGCTGTACAGTGGCTGTTTGTGTTACGGTGTACAGTGGCTGGATGTGTTGCGGTGTGCAGTGGTTCGGTGTGTTGCGCTGTACAGTGGCTGGGTGTGTTACGTTATGCACTGGTTGGGTGTGTTGAGGTCTACAGTGGCTGGGTTTGTTGTGGTGTACAGTGGCTGCATGTGTTACGGTGTGCGCTGGTTCGGTGTATTACAGTGTACAGTGACTGGGTTTTGGGGTGTGCGCTTGCTGGGGGTGTTGGGATGGGCGGTTCCTGGGGGTGTTGGGGTGTGCGTTAGATGGGGGTGTTGGAGTGGACGTTTGCTGGGGGTGTTCCTGGGGCTGTGGGATGTGCGGTGTCTGGCGTTCTTGGGGTTTGCGGTGACTGAGAGTGATGCTGGGGGTGTTGCTTGGGGTGTTGGAGTGTGCGGTGGCTGGGGATGTTGGGGTGTGCTGTGGCTTGGGGGTGTTGCTGGGTGTGTTGGGGTGTGCGGTTGCTGCGGATGTTGCTGGGGGTGTTGGGTTGTGCGGTTGCTGGCGTGGTGCTGGGGGTGTTCGATTGGACGTTTGCTGGGGATGTTGCTGGGGTGTTGGCGTGTGCGGTGACTGGCGTTGTTGGGGTGTGCGGTGACTGGGGGTGATGCTGGGAGTGTTGGGGTGTGCGGTGGCTGGGTGTGTTGCTTGAGGTGTTGGAGTGTGCGGTGACTGGCGTTGTTGGGGTGTGCGGTGACTGGGGGTGATGCTGGAAGTGTTGGGGTGTGCGGTGGCTGGGGTTGTTGGGGTGTGCTGTGGCTGAGGGTGTTGCTGGGGGTGTTGGGGTGTGCGGTAGCTGGGTTTGCTGGGGTGTGCGGTGGCTGGGGGTGTTGCTTGAGGTGTTGGGGTGTGCAGTTGCTGGGGGTGTTGAGGTGTGCGGTGGCTGGGGGTGTTGGGGTGTGCGGTGGCTGGGGGTGTTGCTGCTGGTGTTGGGGTGTGCGGTGAGTGGAGGTGTTGCTGGGGGTGTTGGGGTGTGCGGTTGCTGGGGGTGTTGGGGTGTGTGGTGGCTGGGGGTGTTGCTGCTGGTGTTGGGGTGTGCGGTGGCTGGGGGTGTTGCTGGGGGTTTTGTGGTGTGTGGTTGCTGGGGGTGTTGCTGGGGGTGTTGGACTGTGCGGTGGCTGGGGTTGTTGGGGTGTGCTGTGGCTGAGGGTGTTGCTGGAGGTGTTGGGATGTGCGGTGGCTGGGGTTGTTGGGGTGTGCGGTGGCTGGGGGTGTTGCTTGAGGTGTTGGGGTGTGCAGTTGCTGGAGGTGTTGGGATGTGCGGTGGCTGGGGTTGTTGGGGTGTGCGGTGGCTGGGGGTGTTGCTGCTGGTGTTGGGGTGTGCGGTGGCTGGAGGTGTTGCTGGGGGTGTTGGGGTGTGCGGTTGCTGGGGGTGTTGGGGTGTGCGGTGGCTGGAGGTGTTGCTGGGGGTGTTGGGGTGTGCGGTGGCTGGGGGTGTTGCTGGGGGTGTTGTGGTGTGCGGTGGCTGGGAGTGTTGCTGCTGGTGTTGGGGTGTGCGGTGGCTGGGGGTGTTGGGGTGTGCGGTGGCTGGGGGTGTTGGGGTGTGCAGTGGCTGGGGGTGTTGCTGCTGGTGTTGGGGTGTGCGGTGGCTGGGGGTGTTGGGGTGTGCGGTGGCTGGGGGTGTTGCTGCTGGTGTTGGGGTGTGTGGTGGCTGGGGGTGTTGCTGGGGTGTTGGGGTGTGCGGTGGCTGGGGGTGTTGCTGGGGTGTGTGGTGTGCGGTGGCTGGGGGTGTTGCTGGGGGTGTTGCTGGGGGTGTTGGGGTGTGCGGTGGCTGGGGTGTTGCTGGGGGTGTTGGGTTGTCCGGTCGCTGGGGGTGTTGCTGGGGGTGTTGTGGTGTGCGGTGGCTGGGGGTGTTGGGGTGTGCGGTGGCTGGGGGTGTTGGGGTGTGCGGTGGCTGTGTGGGTGTTCGGTGGCTGGGGTGTTGCTGCTGGTGTTGGGTGTGCGGTGGCTGGGGGTGTTGCTGGGGGTGTTGGGTGTGCGGTGGCTGGGGGTGTTGCTGGGGGTGTTGGGGTGTGCGGTGGCTGGGGGTGTTGCTGCTGGTGTTGGGGTGTGCGGTGGCTGGGGGTGTTGCTGGGGGTGTTGGGGTGTGCGGTGGGTGGGGGTGTTGCTGAGCGTGTTGGGTTGTGCGGTGGCTGGGGCTGTTGCTGGGGGTGTTGCTGGTGGTGTTGGTGGGGGTGTTGGGGTGTGCAGTTGCTGGGGTTGTTGAGGTGTGCGGTGGCTGGGGTGTGCGGTTGTTGGGGTGTGCGGTTGTTGGGGTGTGCGGTTGTTGGGGGTGTTGGGGTGTGCGGTTTTTGGGGGTGTTGCTGCTGGTGTTGGGGTGTGCAGTGTTTTGGGTTGTTGGGGTGTGCGGTGGCTGGGGTTGTTGGTGGGGGTGTCGGGGTGTGCAGTTGTTGGGGTGTTGGGGTGTGCGGTTGTGGGGGTGTCGGGGTGTGCGGGTGTTGGGGTGTGCGGTTGTTGGGTGTCGGGGTGTCGGTGGGGGTGTCGGGTGTGCGGGTGTTGGGTGTGCGGTTGTTGGGGTGTCGGGGTGTGCGGTTGTTGGGGGTGTCGGGGTGTGCGGGTGTTGGGTGTGCGGTTGTTGGGGGTGTCGGGGTGTGCGGTTGTTGGGGTGTTGGGGTGTGCGGTTGTTGGGGGTGTCGGGGTGTGCGGGTGTGGGGTGTGCGGTTGTTGGGGTGTCGGGGTGTGCGGTTGTTGGGGTGTTGGGGTGCGCGGTTGTTGGGGGTGTCGGGGTGTGCGGGTGTTGGGGTGTGCGGTTGTTGGGGTGTCGGGGTGTGCGGTTGTTGGGGTGTTGGGGTGCGCGGTTGTTGGGGGTGTCGGGGTGTGCGGGTGTTGGGGTGCGCGGTTGTTGGGGGGTCGGGGTGTGCGGGTGTTGGGGTGTGCGGTTGTTGGGGTGTCGGGGTGTGCGGTTGTTGGGGTGTTTGGGGTGCGCGGTTGTTGGGGTGTCGGGGTGTGCGGGTGTTGGGGTGGGGTTGTTGGGGGTGTCGGGGTGTGCGGGTGTTGGGGTGTGCGGTTGTTGGGGTGTCGGGGTGTGCGGTGTTGGGGTGTTGGGGTGTGCGGTTGTTGGGGGTGTCGGGGTGTGCGGGTGTTGGGGTGTGCGGTTGTTGGGGTGTCGGGGTGTGCGGTTGTTGGGGTGTCGGGGTGTGCGGTTGTTGGGGTGTTGGGGTGTGCGGTTGTTGGGGTGTCGGGGTGTGCGGGTGTTGGGTGTGGGTGGGGGTCGGGTGTGCGGTTGTTGGGGTGTCGGGGTGTGCGGTTGTTGGGTGTCGGGGTGTGCGGTTGTTGGGGTGTGGGGTGTGCGGTTGTTGGGGTGTTGGGGTGTGCGGTTGTTGGGGGTGTCGGGGTGTGCGGGTGTTGGGGTGTGCGGTTGTTGGGGTGTCGGGGTGTGCGGTTGTTGGGGTGTTTCAGTGACGCAATGGTGTGGGCGGAGCAGTTGAAGTCTCGCGTTGTTTGGCGGTGACGGGGTAAGATGGCGGCGTCGCGCACTGAGTGACTCGGTCTGTAACTGACTAACTGTCTCCTCTCACTCACTCACTGAGGCCTCGGGCCTCGCCGTGACCTCCCGTGTCAGTGTGTGCTGTGGGGGTGTCGCCGGCCTGAGGCTGAGGAGCCGCGGGTCACACTGCTGCCCAGAACCTCGGCCACACTGGCGCTCCGTCCCTCTGCCCTGTCCGTCCCTCTGCCCTGTCTGTCCTCTGCCCTGTCCGTCCCTCTGCCCTGCCTGTCCCTCTGCCCTGTCCGTCCCTCTGCCCTGTCCGTCCCTCTGCCCTGCCTGTCCCTCTGCCCTGCCTGTCCCTCTGCCCTGTCTGTCCCTCTGCCCTGTCTGTCCCTCTGCCCTGCCTGTCCCTCTGCCTGTGCCCTGCCTGTCCCTCTGCCCTGCCTGTCCCTCTGCCCTGTCTGTCCCTCTGCCCTGCCTGTCCCTCTGCCCTGTCCGTCCTCTGCCCTGTCTGTCCTCTGCCCTGTCTGTCCTCTGCCCTGTCTGTCCTCTGCCCTGTCTGTCCCTCTGCCCTGCCTGTCCCTCTGCCCTGTCTGTCCCTCTGCCCTGCCTGTCCCTCTGCCCTGCCTGTCCCTCTGCCCTGTCTGTCCCTCTGCCCTGTCTGTCCTCTGCCCTGCCTGTCCCTCTGCCCTGCCTGTCCCTCTGCCCTGTCTGTCCTCTGCTCTGCCTGTCCCTCTGCCCTGTCCGTCCTCTGCCCTGCCTGTCCCTCTGCCCTGTCCGTCCCTCTGCCCTGTCTGTCCCTCTGCCCTGTCTGTCCCTCTGCCCTGTCCGTCCCTCTGCCCTGTCCGTCCCTCTGCCCTGTCTGTCCCTCTGCCCTGCCTGTCCCTCTGCCCTGCCTGTCCCTCTGCCTGTGCCCTGCCTGACCCTCTGCCCTGTCCGTCCCTCTGCCCTGCCTGTCCCTCTGCCCTGCCTGTCCCTCTGCCCTGCCTGTCCCTCTGCCCTGCCTGTCCCTCTGCCCTGCCTGTCCCTCTGCCCTGTCCGTCCCTCTGCCCTGTCTGTCCCTCTGCCCTGTCTGTCCCTCTGCCCTGCCTGTCCCTCTGCCCTGCCTGTCCCTCTGCCCTGCCTGACCCTCCGCCCTGTCCGTCCCTCTGCCCTGTCCGTCCCTCTGCCCTGTCCGTCCCTCTGCCCTGTCCGTCCCTCTGCCCTGTCCGTCCCTCTGCCCTGTCCGTCCCTCTGCCCTGTCCGTCCCTCTGCCCTGTCCGTCCCTCTGCCCTGTCCGTCCCTCTGCCCTGTCCGTCCCTCTGCCCTGTCCGTCCCTCTGCCCTGTCCGTCCCTCTGCCCTGTCCGTCCCTCTGCCCTGTCCGTCCCTCTGCCCTGTCCGTCCCTCTGCCCTGTCCGTCCCTCTGCCCTGTCCGTCCCTCTGCCCTGTCTGTCCCTCTGCCCTGTCTGTCCCTCTGCCCTGTCTGTCCCTCTGCCCTGTCTGTCCCTCTGCCCTGCCTGTCCCTCTGCCCTGCCTGTCCCTCTGCCCTGTCCGTCCCTCTGCCCTGTCCGTCCCTCTGCCCTGCCTGTCCCTCTGCCCTGCCCGTCCCTCTGCCCTGCCTGTCCCTCTGCCCTGCCTGTCCCTCTGCCCTGCCTGTCCCTCTGCCCTGCCTGTCCCTCTGCCCTGCCTGTCCCTCTGCTCTGTCTGATCCTCTGCCCTGCCTGTCCCTCTCCCTGTGCCCTGCCTGTCCCTGTGCCCTGCCTGTCCCTCTGCCCTGCCTGTCCCTCTGCCCTGCCTGTCCCTCTGCCCTGCCTGTCCCTCTGCCTGTGCCCTGCCTGTCCCTCTGCCCTGCCTGTCCCTCTGCCCTGCCTGTCCCTCTGCCCTGCCTGTCCCTCTGCCCTGCCTGTCCCTCTGCCCTGCCTGTCCCTCTGCCCTGCCTGTCCCTCTGCCCTGCCTGTCCCTCTGCCCTGCCTGTCCCTCTGCCCTGTCTGTCCCTCTGCCCTGTCTGTCCCTCTGCCCTGCCTGTCCCTCTGCCCTGTCTGATCCTCTGCCCTGTCTGATCCTCTGCCCTGCCTGTCCCTCTGCCCTGCCTGTCCCTGTGCCCTGCCTGTCCCTGTGCCCTGCCTGTCCCTCTGCCCTGCCTGTCCCTCTGCCCTGCCTGTCCCTCTGCCCTGCCTGTCCCTCTGCCCTGCCTGTCCCTCTGCCCTGCCTGTCCCTCTGCCCTGTCTGACCCTCTGCCCTGCCTGACCCTCTGCCCTGCCTGTCCCTCTGCCCTGCCTGTCCCTCTGCCCTGCCTGTCCCTCTGCCCTGCCTGTCCCTCTGCCCTGTCTGACCCTCTGCCCTGCCTGACCCTCTGCCCTGCCTGACCCTCTGCCCTGCCTGACCCTCTGCCCTGCCTGACCCTCTGCCCTGCCTGATCCTCTGCCCTGCCTGTCCCTCTGCCTGTGCCCTGCCTGTCCCTCTGCCCTGCCTGTCCCTGTGCCCTGCCTGTCCCTCTGCCCTGCCTGTCCCTCTGCCTGTGCCCTGCCTGTCCCCCTGCCCTGCCTGTCCCTCTGCCTGTGCCCTGCCTGTCCATGTGCCCTACCTGTCTCGCTGCCTGTGCCCTGCCTGTCCATATTCCCTGCCTTTGCCTGTGCCCTGCCGTTGCTGGCCTGTGTTGTGCCTTGCCTGTGCTGGTCGGTGTCTATGTTGCCCTCTGTGGTCAAAAACTCTTAACAGTAGTCACTGTGGAGGCTCATAAATGAAAATGGGTGAGGTTGGAGGATGATTGGCTCTGGTGGAATGAAATGAATTTTGTGCCTTCAGGTGAAAAAAAATTGGCCAGGGAGAACACAGATTTATAAATCATTTTGTTTACACTGTGGAATATCAGGTGCTTGTTCATTAAAAGTCAAAGGAAGGTGAAATGAATAAAACATATTTCTGATCACAGGACTTCCAATCACAGAACAATTTCGAAAACAGTAGTATAGAACTTGTTTATAAACATGCCAAGCCGGTAATACTTCATGTAGTTTGGCCAGGAAGAGTTGTTGAATATTAACTCATTGCTTTGACGAGATTGATTTAATGGCACTGTTCCTAATAGGTTAAGGATAATGATCACTAAACAAACAGATCTGTGGTTCTGATTTAATAATTTTCAGGAAAGAGTCTTCTGTGCAGGAATTATTTTAAAGCTTAGGATAAATGTCGCAGAGTATAATGGGGTGTATTTGAATGCTGGTTAGTTTTTAAACTTGATTCCTGAGCAGAAGCCATGCACCTATCTTGGTGATTTGGAAGGGATGAGTGTGAGAGAGGTTTGGAGAGATAGCAAAAGCACTGCCATGCCATTATTTGATTGCTGCACACAGCATGGTTGACTGCAGTTGAATGAGAGCCCTGACCAGTTTTGTTTTCCTGGGATTACTCAGTTATTTTTAAACTGCTTCTCCACTCAAGCAGAATACTTGCTGGTTGAAAGCCTGCAAATGCACCCAGGAGGTAGAGATTGTGTTCAATTAGAAGTGCCCTGGAGACATACAGAACAGTAGTCATGTAGTCATGCACGCTTGCATATTCTAATTGGTTGTATTGACTGTTTAGCAATCTTCCTCTTTCTCCCCTCTTCCAATAGTCAGAGAGTATTATGTTTTGCAGTAGTTTGACATTAAGCATATGTGAAACAGTAGCAAAATATTTAATTATAATATAATAATTATAATAGAATCATAATAGAATCATTTGGAGTCCTGTAGCTCAGTGGTTAGAGCACTCGCTTTGCAAGTGAGAGACCTGAGTTCAATTCCAGGCAGAGGGCGAAACCTTGGGCAAGTTTCCTTACTCCACACACCTAATAATAATCCCTCCAAAACCAAAAACAATAATAAAATTGGCATTTTCAATCTATGACTGTTTGTGGGACATTGCTGTGCGCAATTGGCTGCCGCGTTCGCCCACAAATTTACAGTCAATTCACTTTACAGTGTGTTCTGTGAAGCGCTTTGGGACGTCCTTCCGACGTGAAAAACGCTATATCAAATGCAAGGATTATTATTATTATAATCTAAGTCTCTTGAAGGGTAACTAAACTTTCAATTAAACAACTATTGTATTTGTAATCAGATTGCCTGTGTCAGGAACCGTTGTATAGTACAACGGTACTATACGGTATGTAATGTGCATTTAGATTTGCTCTGTATGCCACTATTCCTATTTGTGAGAGCCAGTTGACTTCACTGTGGATAGGCTTGTCAGTAAAACCAAATCCCATGGGTTGGATTGCTTACAATGAGCTCAGCAGACAAGTACAAAAATAGAAACCTGATAGGTGTTTTTTTTTGTTTTCATTTTTTAGAGCTCTTCCCCCATAAACAATATCAATTTTCCAATTTGTGCTCTTTCCAAGCCATTGTAAATTGTGTGCCTTTTGTGGTTTAGCTCTGTAAGCATGGAATTGTTCTTTTGTGCACTCTGTTTTATTCTTTCGTTCGCTCACTTTTTTTCCCCAGTGAGCAGTATCAAAGCAGTATCGAGAAAGTAATTGTGAAAAATTTGTTTTAAACTATTCATTTACTTGACTGTTTTATTTAATACAGCACTTTTTTAAAAAAAGGCAGCTATGAAACTAGTAAGACCTAATGGCTAAATGGATAAGTGTGGAGATGTTTTTGGCCCAAATAATTTTATTACCAAATTTCCCCACCTGATATTTGCCCAGAAAAATATTTGCATTTTTTAAAGTAAAAATCATAAATTACTGGGAAATGTTTTAAAAAGCTCGATAAACTAACAGATATTTAGGTGGGTAAAAATGAGCTGACTTGAGCAGGTCTATTTAATATCACTTTTATGTTGTGTTTCCCAGTGGTGGTGGAATTCTGAAAACTGCAATATGCCCTCTGGACAGTGCCTGCACAGCATGCTCTGCATGTGAGTGGATGTCTTGGCGTCATAGAGTAAATATCAAGATGATGGCCGAGACAATATTTGCCATCAGCAAACCACTAGATTGATTTCTCTGTTGGCCAAAGAATAGTACCAGAGGCTGGGAGCTGTGCTTGAAAATCAAAACCGCTTTACTCCTTATATTTTATTGATGATTCCTACATCATCATGTTATTACCTAACGCAGTGACATCAAGATTTTTGCACAGACACAGAACTAAGCCAACTAGCTTCAGATCTTGGACTTTTCATTATCATTTTTCCATTTCGCCCACAAAACACACAGTCGCTACACTTTCAGTCTGTGCTGTGAAGTACTTTGAGACATCTCGAAGACATGATAAGGTGCTGTATCAAATGCAAGGATTATTATCATCATTGCCCAATCTTGGAGGCAATGATAGATCTAACTCAGGGCTGGATCTGAGCACATCTGGAGCCAGGAAATCATCCCTTGTTCTGGAAATAGGCTTGACTCCAGAGACAGACTAGTGGTATGAAAGAGGTTCAGTCAGAATAGTCAGACCTTAGTATAACCTTCCCATGGTGCAGCAAAGCTTTTTTTTTGCCTGACACATGCACCTAGTTACTTCACTGTGTGACAGTAATGTATTCGAGATGCTGTAGTGGTTTGATAGATGTTTGTGATTTCCCCAGGTGACACATTTTTAGACTGTTACACTGTTCATTGGACGCAAAGCATTTCCCTGCAGAGAAAAAATACAATGCAAGCTTTCAAGCTTGAGGCTATTTTTACTCTGGTTGCCTGCTACCTAATAATAGTGGAATCATAGAATCCTATAGGACGGAAGGAGGCCATTCGGTCCATCGTACCAACTCTTTGAAAGAGCTATCCAAGTAGTTGCACTCCGCAGCTCTTTCCCTATAGCCCTACAATTTTTTTCTTTTCAAGTTCCCTTTTGAAAGTTATTGTTGAATATGCTTCCAACACCCTTTCAGGCATTACAGGATACAAGTAGTATCAAGATATTTTGTTCCTGGTCTTGTTGCTGGTTCTGATAATGTTATTTACGAATAGGTGGTAATAATAAAAATAATTACTAATCCTTGAATTTGATGTGTTCTTGTTTCCATTTATACACAATATAGTCCTTTGTTTTGAGGTGTGGATAACTTTTAGTTTGATCAAATGTCTATCAATGGAATGTACATTAGCTTATTAGCTTCTGCAGTTGATGACCAAAATCTTCGAAAAGATTCTTAAGCAGTTTTATCCTTCTGATTCTATAGGTTTGTGTGGCTTGTCAGAGCAGGGCCAGTTTTCCAAAATGTAAAAAAAAGTCCTCTGCACATGTTTAAGAGATATTTATTTGTCAAGTATGGTAATATTTTTCTCTTATATTACTATGCCTTGATATAAAGCTATTGTGATTACAGTATTATGCATCGTACTTTAGGACTCTGGCTGGTTTAAACCTTCTGAAGGTGTGATCATGACAAAGCAAGCACTTGACCAATTGCAAGTTATAAAGTGACAGAGATTTCTGTGTGATGTAATGCTGTGAATTATGATTGTCTTAATGTTACAAAATTTCTGTAAAAAAAAACTGCTGCTATCATGCAGGCAATCCACTTAGATTGAATCAAAGTAAGCTGTTAACGTGGATAAATAAACGGTGAGCTCCCATTAGAATTGGGTTCCTTTCCTTCAACAGAACATTGATGTGATAAAGATTTCCTCTTTGCCATTGATATATTATATATTCATTTTGAGTTGTGGAAGACTTTTAGTCTGATCAAATGTCTATCCACAAAGATGTAAATTTGCTTATTTTGGTTTGAAAAGAGTCAAAAATATGTTCCTTGGGTTTGGTGTGTGCTAAGTTATGAAAAGGCCACAACACTCACTTCTTGGTTATAAACTCTAGGAGGCACATTTCTATACTTTTTAAAATGTTGCGAGGCATAAATTACATTTTAACTCACAGTGTTAGATCAGACTTTCAGGAAAAAAAGACGGTGAGTGTAAAAGAAGTCGCTGGGAACACTCAGCAGGTCAGGCAGTATCTTTGGAGAAAGGAAAGTGAGTCAACGTTTCGGGTCCACGACCCTTTGTGAGAACCTTGTGACTTCTGTTTTTGTTTCAGATTTCCAGCAGTATTTTGCATTTTAAGTGTAGATGAGATGACCAAACATTCCACAATGTAAAATATTCCATGAATCAGGTTGTGCTTGTACTTGGGCTGGAGAGAGTGTGTCACCTGTGGAGGATTGGAAGGTGGCAAAATGGGAATGGATAAATTTTCTGAACTAACATTGAAGTTCAGAGCTCTTGTGCTAAATTTATCCTCAGGAGATTAAATAGCTCTGATGTAGAATCAAAGATAGGTTAGATCTATGAGAAAGAGAAGAGTAGGCTCTATTGAGTTAAATTATCTCATTCTATGTTTCACTTCTTTTAACTTTTATTCTTTGGTCAGAGTAACCACTTGGTGTACTATCCTTAATGCAAGCTCAATTCAATTGTAAGATAATGTTACAATACAAATATACATTTATATACATTTACAATTACATTTTATGTTGCCTTTCATGTTTAGAGGAGGTCCCAAGGCCCTTGGCACCAGAGCTGGAGGAGGGAACTGAGAAGGTTAGGGAGGGAGGAGAAAAGATGACTGCAAATATTTTTGTTTGAAAATATGATGCTTTTTTCCTTTGATTACAGATATCATGTTAGCATAACTACTACTACGGATGGGTGTGAGTAAGCTCGATGTTCTCTACAGGCGACTCCTCCTCACAAAGCTCTTCATTCAGGGATGGGGAAAACCAGATGACTTGAGAAGGTCCTGACTGATACCAACATCCTACTTGCATAATTTGAATGTTTTCTTTTAAGTGTGACACCAAAAGCATGGTAGCTCTCATCACAATGGCGCTCATTCAGAAGGCTTTATTTAGACTCGGATTTCCTTGTTCATCCAATTGCTGAACCTTACAACATGGAAACAAGTCACAATGTCCAGGTGTTTTTGGAGGTTTTTCTCTATGTGAACCTCGGTGCACTCTCCTGCTCTCTCCAATTAATATTCTTCCTCCAAGCATCCATCTAAGTTCCCTTTTAAAATAATCTATGTTGTTTACTTATGGCAGGGAATTTCAGTGTAATTTTTTTCATAACCTCCCCTTTAATTTTTTTTGTGATTTTTAAACCATTGTTACTGACTTGCCAACCAGTGTAAATACTGTAATCTGTTGCTATGTACACCTTTGTAAATTTAAGAAGGCTTATTAGGTCATTCAGACTTTAATTCTATGTTTGGCAACTTCATGCTGAAAGGCTGAGTCCAATCCTGCCACGTAAAAGCCCACAGTCTCTCCATGTGCTGCCATTTATTGTGGTTGTAGAGATATCTGCTTCTTGGATAGATTGCCCTCCGAGCTGAGGAATAGTACAGTAATGGATATGGACATAGAGAGAAAGGAAGAGAATAAGAACATTAAATTGCATTATAAATAAAGGATATGTGCAGGATATGGGATACATTTTACATCCCACAATGGATTCAATAACTCCGGAGGATTGTGGTTGAGCGAGATATGGTCAATGTCTCCCATATGCTATAATTCCTATTCTGTGGCTCCTCATCTTTGTATTCTGCCACCTCTAATTATAATAATAATAATAATCCTTGCATTTGATATTGCGCCTTATCACGTCTTTGAGACGTCTCAAAGCACTTCACAGAATATACTGTAAAGTGAATTGACCGTATATTTTGTGAGCAAAACGCGGCAGTCAGTTGCGCACAGTAGTGTCCCACAAACAGTAGTGGATTGAGTGACCAATTTATTAACAATGCCACAATTATGACCAAGGTAATTTCCAATCACTTTTATCTACTTCATTCATATCGCCTTGCTTGTCTCAAACTTTTTCTGCATTCACTTTCTGCCCTTGGAGTAAAGTCCCTCATCACCTCTCTCACCATTGCCCTCTTAAATCAAAGCTCCTTCTGTAACGGCCTGCAATCCATCCAAATGTCGGAGCATTATTTGACCCACTCAAATTGCGTTGATTCGATCTCCACCATATTATGGACTGTCAGTACCTCCCCAATTTACTTCTACCCTCTTCCCCCTCCCAGTACGTCAGTCATCTCCATGGTTTTGGGTCCATAGGCACACAACCTGGTACAACCAGCCTAACCAACCATTGCAAACTACGTCTCAATAAGCAATATTGCCTCTCTCTATCTCTCTCTGGCCAATTATTATTCCAGGATCACCTCTTGAAGTAAAAGAGCAGGGTTTTTCTTTATCTGGGAGAGAAAATTTATTGGCTAAAAAGTATGGAGGTTGCCAGCCTATCTGTCTTCACTGCTCTTTGCAATGTTCCTGAGCCAGTTCCGTTCCAATTGTGGAGCTGTAAATTGAGGTGAAAATTATTTTTAAAAATGATTTAGACTCTTTTAAGTCAACTATTGTGTGCATGCTTGTGACAGATGAAGAGAGTCAATGGGACATTGTGTTTGGACCTTGAGTGAAGGTGGAGGCAAAGTTCACAATAGCAATGTTAATAGTTTAGTAAAAACATTGATGAAAATGAAGAATACTATCCCAATTTTTTTTTTAAATCGCAGAATATTTGAATTTAGGAAAACGATAGGAAACCGGGAAAGCTGTCAACGTATGGTTCCAAAAGACTACCCTATATTAATCGACAAGGTAAAAATTATTTTAAATTGCATCATTAAGTAGTGAAATATATACTAGGTACTACAACAACAACAAAATTACATTTGTATAGTGCCCTTTCTGTTGGGAGGACGTCCCAAGGCGCTGGACAGACAGCGTTACGGACTCGAGCTAAGGGTCAGGGTGGGAGAGGGTGGAGGGCAGGGGGGGAAGCAGGGAGATCGAAAGCACGACCAAAGAGGAGGGCCTTGAGGTGGGTCTTGAAGGTGGCGAGGGAGGGGGTGGGATGGAGGGACTGCGGGATAGAGTTCCAAAGGGTGGGGGCAGAGTGGCGGAAGGCCCGCCCGCCGATAGTGGGATGAGCAAGGTGGGGGACGTGAAGCAGGCCAGAGCCTGCTGAGCGGAGGGAGCAAGCAGGATGGTAGGGGGTTAGGAGGCCAGAGAGGTAGGGGGGAGCAAGACCATGGAGGGCTTTGAAGGTGAGGACCAGGATCTGGAACTATAACCTCTGTGATGGGAAGCCAGTGGAGTTGGATGAGGATGAGGGTGATAGGGTCGCGGAGCCTAGTGCGGGAGAGGACACGGGCTGCAGAGTTCTGGATGATCTGCAGCCTATGGGGGGAGGATTTGGGAAGGCCGACAAGCAATGAGTTTGCATAGTCGAACCTCGATGTAATGAAAGCGTGCATGAGGGCTTCGGCAGCCTGCAGTGTGAGACAGTGTCAGAGCTGGGTGATATTGCGGAGGTGGGGGAAGGCCATGGCGCAGATATGCAGTAGAAAGGATAGTTGAGGGTCAAATAAGACGCCAAGGTTCCAGACTGGCTTAGCAAGATGCAGTGTGCAACCATGGATGGTGATGCTGTCAGCGCCTCAGTCTTGTTCACATTCAACTGAAGAAAGTTAGCTCTCATCTGGGACTTGATGTCTGACAGATATTCTGTCAGCACAGCAGTGGTCCTGGAGTCAAGGTTGGAGGCAGAGAGGTAGAGTTGGATGTCATCCGCATACATGTGGAAGTTGACCCCATGTCTGCGGATGATGTCATCAAGAGGGAGCATATAGATATTGAAGAGGAGGGGACCAAGGACAGCCCTGAGGAACGTCGCACAAGGGCTAGAGGAGAAGCAGTTTGAGGAGATGAAGTGCAGGCGGTATGAGAGGTACTATCTGAACCAATCAAGGACAGCGCCGGGGAGAGGAGAGGCGGTGGATGAGGATAGAGTGGTCAACGGTGTCAAAAGCAGCAGAGAGGTCAAGGAGGACGAGGAGGCAGAGGGAGCCCTGGTCACAGATGGACAGAATGTCATTTGTCACTTTGACCAGGGCTGCTTCTGTGCTGTGGGCGGCACAGAAGTCTGATTGGAGGGGTTTGAGAAGGGAATGGTGGGAGAGGAAGGAGCGAAGCTGAGAAGCAATAACTTGTTCCAGGACCTTGGGGAGGAAGGGGAGGTTGGAGATGGGGCAGTAGTTAGGGAGTTGAGAGGATGGGCGGAGGAGCCAGTTCGTGATGAAGAAGAGGAGCCTGGGGTTGTCCTTAGCCTCCAAGATTGTTGTTTGTTTTTGTTGTAGGTACTAGGTTTGGGATATGAGACAGGAAAAAGTAGCTGGTTCTCATCATTCCAATGTCTTGATCTGTGTGTCTTGCTTGTTTTTTTTAATCTCTAGAGAATGTTTTGGTTGACATGTGAAAACAATATAATCTGCTGATGTTGCACCTTTTGTGATTGACCAGTATCTTATTTATACATAGAAAAGAATCAATTTCAACTGAGGTGGGGTGGGGGGAGTTAATTGTGTACATCTGCTTTGAAGGTTTCTTGGCTGAGTTTGATTATCAATTCAATATAACCCAACCATGGAAGTTATGGGGATACTTTGGGTCTCATATTCTGTCATGTCTAATTAACTGCCTGGAAGGTGGCAGAGTTATTACGTACACACTTGGATGATCTCTCTTCTGAGTTCAGTAAAACTCATTGGCATAGGATGCGTCATGTAGGGAAGCTACTGTGAATCATTTAACATTGATGGTTATCTGATACAATCAAAACATTTTGCAAAATCAATAAAGTAGTGATAATGGGGGACTTCAATTATCCTAACATGGACTGGGAAACACACAGTGTAAAGGGCAAGGAAGGGGAGGAATTCCTGAAATGCGTGCAGGGGAACTTTCCGTATCAGCATGTTTCCAGTTCAACAAGGAAGGAAGCAGTGCTGGATTTAGTTCTGGGAAATGAAGTGGGGCAAGTGGAGCAGGTTTCAGTAGGAGAGCATCTGGATAACAGTGATCACAATATCATTAGGTTTAGAACAGTTATGGAAAAGGACAACAATCAATCAAAGGTAAAGACCCTATCCCGAAGTAGGCTGATTTCAGTGAGCTAAAAAGGGACCTGGCCAAGATAGATTGGAAAGAAAGATTGACAGGTAAGACAGTAAACAAACAATGGGAAGCCTTCAAGGAGGAGATAGTTTGGGTACAGAGCAAATACATTCCCACAAAAGGGAATGGTAGGACAGTCAAACCTCCCTGGATGACTAAGGAAATTGGGTTTACAATAAAACAGAAAAAGGAGGTTTATGACAAATGTTAGGTCCAAAACACACAGGATAATCAAATAGAATACAGGAAGTACAGAGCAGAAGTGAAAAGGGAAATATGAGTGGCGAAGAGATTGTACGAGAATTTTCTGTTTTATTAGTTGGAAACATAAAAGGGAACCCTAAGGTATTTTTAAGCATATCAAAAGTAAAAGGTTAGTCAAAGGTAGGGTTTGTCCAATTAGAGACCCTAGTAGAAATCTTCTTGTTGAGGCAGAGGGCATTGCTGATGTACTAAATAAGTGCTTTGCAACTGTCTTCACAAAAGAAGATGATGCAACCAATGCCACAATATCTCAGGTGTGTGAACAGAAATTGGATATGATAAAAATCAAGAGAGAGGAGGTCCTAGGCTACTGAGGGAAGCAAAGGTGGAAATAGCGGAAGCTCTGGCCACAATCTTTCAGTCCTCTTTGGACACTGGAGTGGTGCCAGAGGACTGGAAGGTTGCAAATGTTACTCTCCTGTACAAAAAGAGGCAGAACAACAACAACAAGATTACATTTGTATCGCGCCTTTCACGTCGGGAGGACGTCCCAAGGTTCTGGACTGTGTACAGCATTTCAGACCTGAGCTGGGGTTGGAGGGGAGGGGAAGGGGGGTGACCAATGGCATGGTCGAAGAGGAAGGTCTTGAGGCGGGACTTGAAGGAGGCTCCTTAGCAAAGGAGGCGAAGCAAAGTGATTGGGGGATGGAATTCCAGAGCTTGATGGCTCTCCCACCAATGGGGGGGCGGGTGGGTCGGGGGACGTGGAGGAGGCCGGAGCCGGCTGAGCAGAGGGAATGGGCGGGTTGGTAGGGGTTTAGGAGTTCTCAGAGGTAGGGTGGGGTGAGGCCATGGAGGGCTTTGTAGGTGAGGACCAGGATCTTGAACTGGATCCTCTGAAGGATAGGGAGCCAATGGAGTTGGGCGAGAATGGGGGAGATGGGGTCACGGAGTTTGGTGTAGGAGAGGACACGGACTGCAGAGTTCTGGATTATCTGCAGCCTGTGGAGGGAGGAGTTGGGAAGGCCGACAAGCAGGGCGTTTGCATAGTCGAGCCTGGAGGTGATGAAGGCATGAACAAGAGTTTCAGCCGCCTGAGGGGTGAGGTAGTGGCAGAATCGGGTGATGTTACGGAGGTGAGGAAAGGCAGAGCGGGTCATGGTTTGGATGTGGGGAAGAAAAGACAGTTGAGGGTCGAACAAGACACCGAGGTTCCTGACTGGCTTGGTGAGTTGAAGTGTGCAACCATGGAGGTTGATGCTGCCAGAGCCTGAGGTGCTTGAGGCGCTGGCGTGAGCCAATCAGGAGGGCCTCAGTCTTGTTCACATTCAACTGTAGGAAATTTGCCCTCATCCAGGACTTGATGTCCGACAGGCAGTCTGTCAGGACAGCAGTGGTCCTGGAGTTGAGGGTGGAGACAGAAAGATAAAGTTGGGTGTCATCCGCATACATAGGGAAGCTGACCCCATGTCTGCGGATGATGTCACCAAGGGGGAGCATGTAGATATTAAAGAGGAGAGGGCCAAGGACAGAGCCCTGGGGTCGCCAGACGTGACAGTGCAGGGACTGGAGGAGAAACTGTTGGAGGTAACAAAGTGGAGATGGTGAGAGAGATAGGAATCGAACCAGGCAAGGGCAGGTCCGCGAAGATTGAGTAAAGTGTATGAGGATGGAGTGGTCGACAGTGTCGAAGGCGGCAGAGAGGTCGAGGAGGACAAGGAGGCAGAGGGAGCCCTGATCACAGATGTTCAGAATGTCATTATTGACTTTGACCAGGGCTGTTTCCGTGCTGTGGGCAGCGCGGAAGCTGGATTGGAGGGGTTCAAAGAGGGAATGGCGAGAAAGAAAGGAGCGGAGCTGGGACACGATGACTCGTTCCAGGACCTTGGAGAGGAATGGGAGGTTACAGATGGGGCAGTAGCTGGAGTGAAGGGATGGGTCCAGGGAAGGTTTTTTCAAGATGGGGGTGATGATGGCTGTTTTTAGGAGGGTGGGAACTGAACTGGTGGACAAGGAGAGGTTGATGATGTCGGACAGGAGAGGGGCCAGAAGGTGGACCTGGGAGACAAGGAAAGAGATGGGGATGGGATCGAGGGAGCAGGTGGTGGGTTTGAGTTTGCGGACAGTCGTGGTGAGGGAGGAAGGCGAAATAGGGTCAAAGGAGTATAGGGAGAATGGGTGGGGCTTGGGTCATGAGGGAGAAGTGATGTGGGGGTGGCTGTGGACGGGGCAGAGGTGGCTGAATGTATCCCCTCAACCTGAGAACTGCAGGCCAATCAGTAGCAGGGAAACTTCTGGAGACTATAATCCGGGACAATATAAATTCTCACTTAGAAAAATATGGTTTAATAAAGGACAGTCAACACGAATTTGTTAAAGGCAGATCGTGTCTGACAAACCTAATAGAATTGTTTGATGAAGTGACTGAGCGGGTGGAT